TGAAGATCTTAGTTTTTTGAATTTTCTGGTGATGAAGAACGATGTTTGGTCGACATTCCCAAGCTTCACAACTGCGGACCTACTCTAAGGAACCCGAAGGACCCCCTGAGGTGCCCCTGGTAGAAGCGCAGCCTGATGAGGGCCAGGAGATTGGAGCGGACGACTTCACTGGTCCGAGTACGAGGATCCCGAAATTCTCTCTAGACTATACGCCGTGAGGCATATGGTCAGAACAGTTTTGTTTAGACAAGCTGACGCGAAGTCGGGGTGATGTGTAACGCATGTCAAAGGGCTGTCAATGCTAACAGCTGCAGCGCTCTCTCGACAGCGAAGGTAATCGACTGCCCTCTGCATCACCCCACATTTCTGGCAGGAACACCAATCGTTATTTCCTTGTCGACCAGTGAAGTCGTCCGCTCCAATTTCCTGGCCCTCATCAGGCTGCGCTTCTACCAGGGGCACCTCAGGAGATCGAGTATGGTCGCAGTTGTGAAGCTTGGGAATGTTGACCAAACATCGTTTTTCATCACCAGAAAATTCAAAAAACTAAGATCTTCAAATGCAGAGAATTTGAATACTAATCACACGTGACGTCATCAAAACCATCAAAAGAGGAGACAAACTTGGCCCTCCCTGGCTTCATATATCGACTTTTTGGGTCTAGTTTTCGCGATTCCCCATTCCTTGGGGGCCATATAAGGCCCCCATGAAGAGAACACACCACCGAAAATATTCCCGGAGTGCCCCTTTAACCAGATCTTATACCGTCAGCGAGTGCGACAAACTGGCACGAAACTGACAAGGAGTACTGAGACATTCGGCGACCTGACACCTAGCTCCAACACTTCTCCAAGGCGCAAGCCAACAACCTTCCAACTTGGAAGGCTCAGGTTCGGAATGGTCCAAGAGGGGAGGGAAAGCGCAACGAAGAAGAGCATGAGCTACGCGCCACGGCAACAAAGAATGCCGAAAGTTGCTGCACTCGCTGACGGTATAAGATCTGGTTACGTTGATGGACAGTTTGTCATAACTCGTAACATTTTGTCTTTTTCCTTTCTTCATCATAATTATAATTATTGGCTCGCCATCCGAGTTCAGCTTTACTGATATAGTGATAAATATTATGCAATGCACACAGAAGGACCCGGAAGACATGTGAGGGATGGCGGGGAAAACTTCCCGCCATCAAGGACATACTTGAAACAAAGGGTGCAGCCGCGCTCATGAGAGTGAGCATATGCAGATGTATGTCTGCATGCACGCGTGCAGGTTAGTATGTGTGCGTGCGTGAACAGTGAAGTAATATGCAGAGTCTGGGATGAGTGTGAGCACCTGTTATATCACCTGCTAGCCAGCATTAATAACTGCACATTTAAATCTTAGTTGTATTGGTTTAAAGATAAATGTGTTGTTTTTTCACGGCTGAGCGTAGCGAAAGAGTGTCAAAAACGTATTTTTCACTCACCATTTTTCTGTCGTGCTCTGCTGCTCTTCCACCGCGCAACTCTCCCCCACCTGCCATCGTGGTCTTATCATCCTCGTAGAGCGTGGAGTTTTCCCACCCTCCCTCCCTTGGGTCCCGTACGTTTTTGGGCTTCCATTGGGTGCTGTTTTACTGGTTTTCCATGGCATGCTTTGTTTTGTGTGTTTCTGTCCCGAGGGTCTCGGTGTTTTTTGGTTGTATGATTACTCCTTTCTGCTTGTTTCTCTTCGGTTTTTCTTTTGGGTGTGACTGGCAGTGGGGCAGGTCCCATATTAGTAGAAGGGTTTTTTGGCCGCAAGGCGAGTTTTTCCCCCAGCCCTGTTGAGTGGTCGTGGCTGGAAATTTAGGGAGTCGGATTCCAGGCGCTCCCCCACTGGCCAGTCACCTACACCAGAACATTGCTCTGCTCGTCTTGCACTGACATACTTGTATCTCTTGCTGGCCGCCTTACTCTTTATTACTTCTGGCCTAGTTTTTGGTTAGCGTGTGGCTGCGAGTGTGGTGTGACGGTATACTGAGTACATTCTGTGAGTACAATCTGGTAGACCACTACCCCCATCGTGAGTACATTCTGGTAGACCACTACCCCATGTACAACCCGGTTGCTATGTGAGTGAAATGATGAGCATACATTGGGTCAGCCAAGGGAAATGCCAGCGGAAGCAGTACAGCAGGGGTCGGAAAATAGAGAAAATATTGTAACCTCAAACACATAAAGGAATTACCCAAACTGTCCAAATGTGAAGAAACCAAAACACAAAAGTGCAAATATTGGAGCTGTCCACTGTAAGGCCACTATTACAATGCACATTTTTTTAAACTCAAAGTTGGCTCCTTTCATCCCTGGGTGGTCCTCATTGCCCCGCTGCAACAGTTTCGTCTAGACACCCTCTCGGTTCCGGAGATGGGCAAGGTACAAATTGTTAAAAGCATGTCCGCATAGGTAGCGGGGTGCCACTTTTGCTTATGCCACTCAGGATTGATGTCTGAAGAGTAATACGATACAATGAAATGACAGAAGTGATGTCAACAAAAGCCGTTAGCAACAATACCAATAGGACTAAGGGAAAACTTCATGCAAAGTATAAAATAAAATAGAATATGCATACAACATGTCTGGCGGAATCAAGTGGATCACGAGAATCAGTCCTGTTAGGTGGGGCGGGCTCCACACCATGCCTGTCTGTCCGCTGCCATTGTGCGGACTGCGTCAGCATCTAGCGGCTGGTGGAGGGTAAGTCCATGCCATGATGACAGTTCCGTCTGCAAGAACGTTACCAAAGTCGTCCGAGGTCGACCCCTGAAGCGTTCAGTGCCCTCGTCATTGGCCAAGCGAAGATACATATCCACTGCCAACTGTGGAGGAGCAGTTGGGGCCAAATGAAAGATATGGCCAGCGAGACTGTAGCGCTGCCTTGTGATCATCTCGCTGATGGGGACAGCTCCGCAGCGCTTATACAGAGTGTCATTGCTAATTCGTTTAGGGTACCGCATGTCGATGATGCTCCTTAGCTGGGTCCTGTGGAACGAATCCATTCGCGCGAATGTCGGAGCTCGCGCGAAGGTACAAAAGTGGACTAAAATATGCTTTGAAATTAGGCACAAGAATGAGGGATCACGCGGCTTCTCACAACAAAAACATCGTATCCAAAACAACTACCGTATTTCCCCGTAAGTTAGTTCTCCCCTATGACTTAGTATCCCCTATAAAAAATACACTTTCCACTGCCGAGGTTATCACCCCGAAAGACAGTTCCCCCCGAAAGATAGTAAGTTCGTACCCGTCCTACATATACAGACACCGTACAGTACATACATCATATGCACGGACACTAGAGTTGCGCAGGCTTCCCACTGCGTGTCATTTACCCCCGATAAAAAAGTACTCCCCGAAAGATAGTACCACCCCCGAAAGTTAGTACTCATGTGGCTGCTAAGTTCGAAAGTTAGTACGTACTAACTTACGGGGAAATACGGTTTGTTCGCACTCCGATCGATTTTACCATGTAATGTAATGTAAGCCATGCAACTGGTGACCAGCAACTTGCTGAGTCCATCTAAAAAATTGTCCTAAGAAAGCCATTGCGTAGACCATCTACATGGCCAGTCGCAGCAAGGTTACCTCCTAATATTTGAGGTAAACTGCCACCATAGTCTGCAACAACACAGCCAACAAGAAGTCTTGAACAAACTGTCCAAAAATCTTTTTTATTTATTTTTTTATTGAAAAACCACAAACCTTCAGACATATGAATGTGCACATGATACACAGTGTACATACGTATCATTTGGGGAAATGTTAAAATTTTGAACTCTCCAATGGCCATACTCTCGCGGAATCCAACCTCGCGGCAGGAAAGCACACGCGGAGCGCAGCCACTTGCCTTTTTTCTAAGCTACCAGCACTGAAACAAAATGGCTGTAGTAACTGCCCTAGCAAACCTTCAATGAAGCCGCCACAAAGCGCCACCTGCTGAACAACTGAGCGCAACATGACAAAAAGGAGACCTCGTTTACAACAACAAATGAGCAAGGACTGCAACAGTCGCACAAGATCTGCCAGGAAGTTCTTGGGCATACACAGGCAAAATGTGCATCCAAAATCTCACTAGAGCCACTTCAAATGCAGTATAACTGGTCAAGGCGACCAGTTGTTCCTGAGGACCAATGAATCTGGGACCAATGGAAGTTATCTCCAGTCAACTGAACCAGGATAAGGATACCACCTCTATACAAAGACCACATTAAGAGGGTTCCTTGAGCAGTCACCTTAGACAGGTTTCACTGTTTAATACCCAAACTACTATGGATTTGGATACAAAAAAAAAAAAAATTCACGGTTCGCGTGAGACTCGGCCAAAGGCCCAGTTTTCCGCATCCGCAGGAACGCCACCACCCTCTTGGATCAAGGCGCAGATGCAGCTCCTAAGCGGTGGGAGGTGAGTAGATCAGACCCACCACAAAGTGGTCAAAGACCGAAATCCCATTCACTGCATCCATGTTTCCCTCGTGCCAGGCCACGAGTTCCCAATTAACTGTGGGTCGCAGCACGGCTGGAAAAAATCCTTCCGCTTCCAAGCAGGACTTGAACCTGGTACCCTCTGTTTCTCAATCATGGTCTTAGACCATCCCACTATGCCTGCCTGCTTGGATACAAACCGCACATAAAAGGAAAACTTGTTTGGCCATTTCCAAAAATGGTAAAATGGATCCATTGTATGTCACTTTTGCATCTAAACTCTTCACATGTATCATACCAATATTAGGGAGGTTAAGCTCATAAGCATTGCTTCCAGGACAGAGGCCTGGAGCAGGGAGGAGTATCTAGGGATCAGTTTCAAAAACATATTAAAGGTGGTGCAGCTGCAGACCTACGTTTTGTGTGATCGTAAGTAGGAGAATGTGATAAAGACATAGGGTTAGAGAGATGATAGGAATATTTTTTACATGCATACTGGTGAATGATATCAACATGTTGCTATTTGAAGAAGTATTCTACTGTGTTCTTTGCTTACAGCCCGACAATGTCCCACTCCAGGAAAACCTGACTCCGGACAATATCGTGTAGCACGGCAAGGGCAATATGTCTCGAGACCTTTCCAATATGGTGACACTGTTTTATGGTTTTGCAATAAAGGATTCACAGGAAATACCCGTGCTGTATGCCAGGCAGATGGTAGATGGAGCAAGAACACACCAACCTGTACACGTACGTACTTTCGGGACTCTGATTGGAACCCACTACCAGTTTGGCCTTTGTTTCTAATCATAATAATTATTTACAGCAGTTTCATACTTACCTGCAACATTTTACCTTTTTCAATACAGTGGAGATCGGATATAACGACTTTGTATAACTATAACGACAGTTAACCCACGTGCATGCACGCATACGCACAACAAACTTCAAACAAACAAAACACACATACACACACTTATCCAGGCGCGCTCTTGCGCATGTACGCGAGCGCACACACACACACACACGCACACACATGCGCGTGCCCAACGCACAAAATACGGACACACATACACCAGGGAAATAGAATACAAGGTAGTGGGGTTTGCCATAGTTTTTTTTCTTTTTTTTCTTTTTTTTTCTCTTCACATTTTGTCTGATACATTTTGACGAGACTGTGCATTGAGCGACACCGTGGATAACATTGAGCCAAGAATTATGTAATAAGCCAGCAGAGATTATCTCAAATAAAACCATAGGTGCCCGGCAACAGCAATCGGGCGAGTCACAGCAATGTAGGTATTGCAACTTCACTGAGACAGATACAAAGTTGACCACCCATGCCTGGCAACTTCAAACAGGCGGGTCAACCACATGGTGGCCCAGCAACTTCAAACGGGAACACACCGATACGACATACACAGTTGACCACCCATGCCTGGCAACTTCAAACAGGCGGGTCAACCACATGGTGGCCCGGCAACTTCAAACGGGAACACACCGATACAACAGACACAGTTGACCACCCATGCCTCAACCGGCGGGTCAACCACATGGTGGCCCGGCAACTTCAAACGGGAACACACCGATACAACATACACAGTTGACCACCCATGCCTCAAACCGGCGGGTCAACCACGCAACAACATACAGCTGTTACAACACTGAGACAGTACAGCACACCACTGAGAGGCAAATGCATTTGACCCTCCCAAAAACCAGTGTTCACGACCAAGCATTTATCACGGCGTCGCTCCTTAGCGTATGTCCTTGCAAGTAACCATGGCAAACCCCTCCGTGATACAAACAAGGCTACAACAAAAGGACTGCACAAGACATGGACTGCACTACACTGCACAACATTACAAATGCACCTCACTTGTGTTCAAAGCACCACATGGGCGTGGGCTGTACCAGTCTTGCAGCTAGTCATTACAAGGACGGCATACCGGCTGCACGCCTGACATAGCGATCGGATGCTGCACTTCGCCAGCGGCCTGCACGGCGTATGGCTGCTTCACTTGCACCCCGGTCCGCCATGAGAGTGGCCCCGCCAATGCGCATAGAATGGGAGCTCACCCGGTTGCAGTTGAGGGCGTGCCTGAGGATCTTGGTCAAACAAGCTCGAGTGAGGTAGCTGCCGTCGACGAACACAAACACTGGCCGTGCGCTGCCGGTTGTAGCGGTCAGGGTCCGGAACTCGGCCATGGCCGACACTGGGCACGTAGAGTCTCCTGTGGTCACCACTTGGACTGTTCCTCCGTCGCCAAGCTGCTGTATCTTGGTGACTTTTAGCTGCAGAGAAACCGAGCCGGATGATATACTGACAGCTTCCCAGAGCAGTGTTCTCTTACTGTCAAATGAATGAGGGGATGCAGCTAAAAACTCGTTGGCGCGCAACAAACCATAAAAGGCCAGTGTCACACTTGCCCACAGCATGGCACGGTCTACAGTGGCATAATTAGATCTGTCAAGGTACAGCCGGAATTGAGCAAGATCGGGCATCGTCATCCCTCTTCGACTAGATGCCGGAGGAGATTGTCGCCTCTCAATCCCATGCAACACAGAAGTCAAGCGGGCAGATTTGAGACTGCCAATTGGTGCGCCATTACAGAGCAAGTGGTATCTTACGGCAGCTAAGTACACACGGATAGTCGATAGCGACAGGCGTTTGGTAACAAAGAGGTCAGAAGCGAAGGATATAATATGTTCAGCGGTGGGGAAAAGAGGGGGAAAAGAATGGATTTGACAAAACTGTATGTACGCGGAAATACCGGGCTTAAAAGTCTGGGCCGTGGAACCAGAGACTGAGTCTCTGACGAGGTCATTGCTGGCAGCAATCAGAGCAGCGAGTCGAGCGGAGGAGTTGGCACCGGGCATCGGCTGGCTGTGGGAGCCAGTTCTCGGAAGCGAGTAATCTGCAGGCGAGACAAGGCATCAGCAAGGCAATTATCAACACCGGCAATGTGCCGTAAAAACAATATGAAATTGCCAGATGCGGCCTGAGCAAGCAAGAATCTGATAATGTGCATTGCATTCTTGTTGCGGCATGAACCTTTCTGCCATGCTAAAACAGCAGCTTCATTATCGCAGTGAAACATAAGGCGCTTGCCTGACCAAGAATGTCCCCACACAGCGCATGCTAGAGCAATTGGAATCAGCTCACGAACCATAATCGGTTCATCCCGCATCTCAGCAGCCCATTGCCCCAAAAACCATTGTCCGTCGTAGAAGCCACCGAAGCCAACATCCGAGGCATCCGTAAACAGCTCGTGGTCAGGGGATTTTGACCACTGAACATCATGAAAGAATGATTTGCCGTTCCAGTTCGCCGCGAACCCACACCACCAGTCAATGTCCAGGTGGGCTTCTGTGTCGATGTTGATGACTGACTGGAGGAACGGAACTGTGCAGCTTAAGTCAATGAGGCGGCGGATGAAGGTCCTGCCAGGAGGAACGACCTTGGCAGCGAAGGACAGGGTGCCTATCAGCGATAACAGTTCCCGCTTTGTGCAGGTAGAACGCGTTGACCAGTCGCTCAAAGCCTCGAGCATGGCAGATAGCTTCTCCTCAGGGAGCCGCATCACCTGCTCCACGCTGTCCACTTCTATCCCGAGTACCGTCACCACTGCTGCTGGGCCGACCACCTTATCTGCGCCAGTGGCGACTGGAATGCCGAGGTTGTCGAATACCTGCAGAACCGTTGCTTTTTGAATAGCTGCTGTAGAGCGGTGGACAGATGAGCTACCGGTAGGTGGTGCGACTCCGATGTAATCATCGAGATAGTGCTCCAAGTCATGAATGGAATAGTTATGACGAAGAATCCAGCACATTGCCTCAGCCAGGGTGTTGAACAATGCAGGTGATGATCGCAGTCCAAATGGAAGCACCTTGTCGACGTAGTAGCGACCTTGCCACACCATGCCGAGCAGAGGCCAATCGTCAGGGTGCACTGGAACATTGCGGAATGCATGCTGGATGTCAACTTTGAACATTAGAGCACCCTTGCCATGACGAATAACGTGACGTACAATATCATCAACAGTCACATACATCAAACTGTATTGGTCCTCGGAGATGCCGTCATTGATACTGCGTCCGGCCGGGGCGGAGAGGTGCACAATGAGTCTGTGCCCACCAGACTTCTTAGGCACGACACCTATGCCAGCTGATCGAAACGGCACACAGGGTGGTGCAGGGAACGGCCCGGCAGTATGACCACGTAAGCACTCCTTAGCCAGGTATTCCGAAACAATATCAGGAGTGTCAAATGCAGAAGATACATTAGGACAGATAAGGGACGTACGGGGACCAGTGTAACCAATATGAAAACCGTGTGTTAAACCATGTAGAAGTGCTGCTACCATTCCTCTATCAGGGTAGTTAGTGAGTTCGTCTGCCAAAGCGTTGACGTCCACTGGGGTGGACGGGCGGTGCTGCGGCAGCGGTGCATCCGAAGGCAAACTACTTGGCCTTGGCAAGGCCGGGGCAGCGGCTGGCTCCGTGTCCACTGGTTCCGCAGGAGGAGCACACGTGCCGGTATCGGCAGATACGAAAGCTACACGTGCCTTTGTTGAAGGCGTCACGCCGGCAGACTTCTGTGTTTGAGTCCGTGAAGTAGACAAGCAGGACGCAGCAGCATGTCCATACTTGTTACAAGCGGAGCAAAATGACAGGGACTGGCCGGTGAAACAACGTGTGTATAGGTCCATGTCAATCTTGTCCCACTGCACCTCCGAGCAGCGTGACGCTCTCTGGCGGAACTGAACATCGTAATCAGCTACTGCCGCCCATCTGAACCGCTTGGCCGCCTGCAAAACCTGCAGTTGATACCCCCACAGCTCCTGAGACTTGGCCGGCTGCTGGTCAGAAATGATGCAACAGTAAGTCGTCCACGCCTCAAGCCACATGCTGAGGGACGCGATCTTGGTTCTCGCCGCAGATGCTGCTGTGACCACCAACTGGCCGTCTTGCTCGGAGAAGCGAATGCGCTTCTGAAGCGGTTCATCGACGGAGTTGACGGGACCGGCGGGGGGCAACAGGCAGCTGAGATCAACAAATTCCCCCCTGAGTACTTTTGTAATAAACGTCATGCTCACATGGCTATAAACGGCAGAAGCTCGAGGCTTACCCGAGGCAGGCGTCGGGGACGAAGTTGCTGCTGCTGGTACAGGCACAGAGGGTGGGCTGGCTGTCACGGCTGGCTGGCGGTCGAGAAGGAGATCGTCAGGTCCATCCTGAATTTCGGGCACATCACGGACTTCGTCCGGCGCGTCCGCCGTCGGAGCAGGAGCAGGGGCTGTCAGCTGTGGCAAAGCTGCCGAGATGGACGCTGCGATCATCTCTTGCAGCTGCGCTGACTGCCTCGCAGTGAAACCACCCCGCGACATTGTAAACCAAAGAAAACACAGCCCTGAGCCACCTTGACCAACTGGCTGACAGAAATTGTTGACAAGGATGTTGCTTTGCTGACACAAGGCAAGGCAAAGCGGCCACGTAAACTTATATTTTTTACATCCGCCATTTTCGGAAAAATATTATTTTTTATTCATCAGGTGCACGTGCCGCGTGACGAACCCGGGACCAACACGTGCCTGCGTGGGCTAACTTGGCTTTGCTGCTCAAAGCCGTCATATTGAGTTTAGCGACGCAATTCTGTTGCCCTAGTCGTTTAGTAAGTCCTTTGTGAAGATCGGGTTTAGTGACAGGTCGAATAGTGACATTTTGTTCTCTCCCGAAGGAGTGTCGTTATATCCAATCTCCACTGTATTTCAGTAAAGAGAGAAAGGACCAATAAGTTGCAAGTTATGACTAACAGTTCACCAATGTAACGATATATTATACAGTCAGATAGTGCGACAACAAGGCACAAAACTGAAAAGGATATTGAGGCATTCAACAACCTGGCACTTTCGTGGCGAATCCCTTCCCTTCATTGGAACTTTCTGCAACTGAGCCTTCCAAATTGGAAGATTGTTGGTTTGCGCTTCGTAGATGTGTTAGAGTAGGGTTGTTGAATGTCTCAATATGCCTGTCAGTTTTGAGACGTCATGGGAAAATCTCTGCTCTAGTGGAAACTCAAATGAAGCCGCAATGAAGCATCACTTGCTGAACAACAGCACATGACAAGAAAGATAAACTGGTCCACAACAACAAATCAGCTAGGATTGCAACAGTAGCGCAAGATGGCCCAGAACGTTCTTGTGTACTAGACAGCTACTGCACGAGAATTTAAAAGAGGGCATGTCTGAGAATACCAAAGTATTAGGCTAAGTCGATCTCTCCGATTTTGCTCAAAATTTGCAGATAGGTTCCCATTGGGGTGTAGATCGACTGTGCAAAGCTCTTGAAAACGTTTCTGAAGGGAACCTAGAAACTCGCATACCCCGAAAAATGGCCGAAAAATCACATCATTTGGCCCAGTATCAGCGAGAATCGACCTTCGGGTGAAAATCATTTTTGCAGAATGAGTCATTTCTGCAACGGCAAAAAACTCTTGCTTCGCGCTCTGCACATGCAAACAAAAAATTAGTTCATCGCAACAATGGATGCTTTTGATCGTCCTAGTAGTAGGAGAGTTCGCTCACGATGGCCAGCTAGCTGTCGTCCGGCTCTGCCAGAAGCCATTTTATTTCCTAGGCAGGAATTGTCGCGTCTGATAGAAAACGACGACAGTTTACAGAAGATGTTTTTGTCGACGCGCAATTCCTATTTAGCGACGAGAATTTCAACTTGATTTAGGCGCTCTGCCAAAGGAGCTCTCTGCTGGCAAAAATACTTTCTGACATCTGATAATCCTCGTAGGGCCCTTCTGAATTTAGTACAGCTCCGCTCAGGGGAAATACTGAACGAGGAGAAACTAGTGAGGCGCCGGCAACAGAGGTAGACAAATTGAAATGCACTGGATCAACTCGAGTCAGGACGAAAGAGCGCTGCCGCTAGTGACATGATCTGAATTTTTCCAGTCTCCCACACTGGACTCCGTGGTGAACACCAAACCCCTTGGACGGGGCAAGAGCTGAACATGATTGATGAGCTACGAACTCTCTGCACTCAGTGCTGGAATCATGGCGCACTGACGCGCATGCAGCAAGTTTCCCACAGAGCTCAAATTTCACAGAGGTGCAGCAGTGATGCCGAGACTACCTCCAAATTGTGTATGAGATGAAGCCTGGGGTGTTAGAATGTTGTGCCTGTGTCGCATTCCCTGTGGGATTCACAGACTGGGACTCCAGGTGTAGTTGTAGCCACCCCCCCCCCCCTCCTGTTCTGCACTGTAGTAACTGCCTTTTCTCCACCTGCTCCCAGTCCCGTGCCATCTCCACACTTATACAAAGGGACGACGATAACTACACTTAGAAGACTGTTTATTGACACGACGACGAAACACAACTAGACATGACGAACTCAAGACGAAGACATGATGAACTCAAGACGAAGACATGATGAACTCAAGACGAAGACTGCTTTTCAGACCACAGCAACACGCGCATGCACCAACATAACGCACAGAGGACGTACACAAAATAACGTACTATATACGATATGGTAAGTCTATCGATATACGGCACATGCGGTATGATACGGTAAAAAATCCGTCTACTACATGCACTTATGTGGATTTTCAGCGGACTTGGGATGGCGTTCAAACAGTTTTCATTGGTATGCAGTGATGAGGATCAAGGCCATCCATGCTCTATGCCAGACGGGTTGCCCAAGACTCAGGAGTTGTTTTACAACAAAACTGGATGAATGATTTATTACACTGACTTTTGTAACACATCATGGCCAGCAATCGAGGACATCTGAGAGTTGTAATTTTTGGCATGCTGGGCCAAGCACAAGGAAGCCATCTGCCAAAAAAACTGGAAAAATGGTTGTTGTTTGATCCTCTGGTGTAATCTTTGTAGCTAATCGAAGCTAATTGCTGTTTGGAGCAGAAACGCTGAAACTGAATATTTTCAGCATGTACTCATGCGTGTGCTCATGTACTCAAGCATGTAGTCTCACTCGTATTTTAGCTCTTTTTCTGGAATGGATGCTGCTCTGCAACCCTTGGTGAACATTTCCTGCACTCGTGGAGCAGCTGAAAAGGACCACTGGTATGTCTGGTTCCTGGTTTGAAAGTGGAGAGTCGACTTTTGTGCCTTGAAAAAGGAGTAAAAAAAAAGAAAAAGTAAATTATCGTATCCGTTCCCAAAGGGAACTCACGTTCCCGAAGGGAACTCACGACGGCCGCTAACACCCGATAAACCCTAAAAAGGAGTAGAGAGCAATAAAGGTATGTCTGTAGCTTATTCTTGAGTGCTCCTCGTAGATTTTTGATCGTGATAGAAATTCTCAGACCAAAGTCAGCGCGAAGATGGCCGTACAGTTTTCTTGTGGATTTTTTAGTTGTTTTGTCTCGTATCTATGCCAGTATCGTGATGGTGAAGTGGAGAGGGTAATTTTCTTACTCTAGGCTTCGTTCGGCCGACTTTGCTTCGTCCTCGTTGAAAAGTGATCATGAAAAAAAGGTCGATTCATAAAATTATGTTGAATTTCAATGAACATGATGACATGCAATTGCTGGCTATGAGTATTCCGATGTGGAAAACACTGTGATAAATTGTTGTATTTCCTGATATGTACCTATGCTTGTTTGAGAAGCTTCTGGGTCATCAAATATTACTTTGTTCGGTCTAATACTTTGCCATGTGATCACTAGATACCTATAGATGACAACTGCAGAAAAGTCATTTTGTGAAAAATCACCCTAAGGTCCATTTTTGCAGATACTGGGCCATTTATGGTTCTACAAACGAGTCACGTCACAGTGTACACGAACAAGCCATGAACAAAACTCCATCAAGCCAACATTGCCTCACCTTAGGAGAGTTCCTGGAGCAGTACCGCTTAGCAACGCCAGCATCCCAGAAGACGAGGACAATCACCCCCCCCCCCCTGACGCCACAAATGATTGTCTTGAGCTGATAAAACTATTTTGAAGTAACTACGCTGATAAGCTAATATTAGTCACAGTATATTCCAGCACTGGTGTTATCTTCTATTGTGGTTATAGCACTGCCTTAGCCTACATTACAATAACCCTATACATCATGTACATGTAGTACAATGTATAACCAGCGAATAGCACATCATGTTTTATCGTCTGATGAGTGTTTTGGAACACGAAACTCCGAGTTACGAGAAAGCTTTTGTTCTCTGTTGTTCTGCCTTGTGTATCTATCCATCTATCTATCTATCTATCTATCCATCTACAAATATTACACAGCAATGAATCAAACAAGTCTCTTTCTGCTGTTACTCCGAGTTTCGTGTCAAAACACTTCATCAGACAGCATATGACCAAGACTAACAATCACTAGAATATATACGGAGAGAAGGCAGAGGTGATGGAGGTACATTTCAATAGCGCAAGGAAAAGGGATGACAAAGTATGAAGTTATCTGATGAGTGCTTTCGCACGAGACTCGGAGTAACAACGAATTTCTCGGCTATCCATCGCTTGATGACTTGTGTATCTATCTTTCTATCTATCTAACAAACATCTAACAAACATCTTGTGTATCTATCTATCTATCTACTCAATCTGCGGACAGTATGCTGTTTCGTTCTTTGTGAACTCATCAGCGCAGCACAGAGGAAATGAGGCCGAACCTGATAGCAATGAAAATATAAATTTCCAATCAGGCCCAAACGTACCTTGCCAGAGTGCTCAAACTGACAAGCCAGTGAGCTCTGCGTAATGCAACTTGTGACAGCAAAGGCACTACCCCACATGAGAGTGCTCGACCACTACAAGAGCAGGAGCGAAAATACTCAATCTGCGGACAGCATGCTGTTTCGTTCTTTGTGAACTCATCAGCGCAGCACAGAGGAAATGAATCCGAACCTGATAGCAATGGAAATAAAAATTTCTAATCAGGCCCGAACGTACCTTGCCAGAGTGCTCAAACTGACAAGTCAGTAAGCTCTGCGTAATGCAAACAGCAAAGGCACTACCCCACATGAGAGTGCTCAACCACTATCTATATATCTATCTATCTATCTTTTTCTTTCTCTCTCTCCATCTCTCTTTTTCTTTTACAATAAATATTGGTGAACAGGTATAAGTTGCCAAGACCAAGGACGGCTTGTCAATGGAGATAGCACATCGACAGGTCAACAATTTGGTAGTAGAGTAACATATCGATGTCATAAAGGCTTCTACATGGAGGGTTCTACAAGTGGTGTTGTTACTACACGATGTTTATCCGACACAAGGTGGTCTCATGATAAACCCACTTGTTTGCGTAAGTACGAAATAATTTTCTATCAGGTTCAGGTTGGTGGGTTTTCCATCCCGCAGCGTTTCAGATATGTAGCCCAGTCCTGGTACGGGATTGTTTGTTAAGTAGAGGTGCTAATCTTTAACAGAGGCATACCTATGATCAGTACATATCAACTTGCACTTTTTTTAATGCACACAACCCATAATATGATGTCGGCATTTGTTTTCGGGTATTGAATAACATTTTTCCGCCATAATCCTGTTTTCAAAAGACCCCCATACATACAGACACAGCACTTCCTCAGAACGGCGCAGCAACCTGGATGCAGTTTTTAATGCACTGCGTGTTTCTCTGTGCTTCTCTATTAAACAGCCCGGGCATGTCCTGATCCAGGCAGTCCTACATTTGGTGCCTTCTCTGTTCAAATGGGAGTACAGCGTGCCAGTCTGACACCCTACCTGTACAACGACACTGTCACATGGACATGTTATATCGGCTATTCTACTACTCAACCTACTACTGCTGTGTGTCAGGCTAATGAAAGATGGAGTAACAACCGCCCAGGCTGCCAAAGTATGTTTTTTTGTATATTACCAGAAAGCCACAAATAATCATGGTGCAAACAACGGCCAAAAAAAGCACAGACGGATGCACATAGCGATGGCAGCCGGAGCAGTGGAGGCGGAGCAAGAGCAGCTAAACCGACTAAGGGTCTCGGCATCCACACTGCTCATGCACGCCAAACAGAAAAACACTAAATGAAAACAAAATGAATAGGAGCACTACAGAGCAAATGAGAAAGTATGGGTAACGGCACAGTCACACAGCGTGCAAAATGGGAAGGAAAGTTTAGGAGCAGACACACATACATTGGCATGTACACAGCAGCAGGAATCCGGCATACACACATGTGAACACATGCATGAGCACACACTCTCTCTCTTTCTCTCACACACAAACACACACACAAACACGTGCATACCTACAAAAGAGTCCTTTTAAGGATGTGAGGGTGGGTACCCTGCTTAATAAAACCCGGATAGCCATGACTAGGTGACCCGGCACTGTTGCACAAAGACACACACACCCACCCACCCACACACACACACACACACACACACACACACCTTGGACCTTGGACCTTGGACGCCCATCGCGTAGCGATGATGGCTCAGACGCGGCAGTGGGGGGCGTGCCTCCTCAGGTCCCCAATGCGGCCAAAGGGACGGCCACATGCGCAACGGAACTCTTTCGGTCCGGGTGGAGGAGGCTGCTGACGACACAACCGCTTCCAGGTTGGGCGATCCTGGGCTTGATGGAACCATTCTCCCTCTCCGATCTGTGCCGCAGCTAGATCAGTGACAACAACGTCACGCCATCGCTTCTTCGGACCGTGGCGGGGGCGAGTGGCATATAACTCGCCAAATACCATCTGCTGCGGAGTGCGGTGTTCCTCCATACGGGCAATGTGCCCCAGCCAGCGCAGACGATGCTGTCGGAGCAAATCGGAGATGTCAAGAGACATGCCAAATCGCCTGCCCAATTCTGCCGATGTGAGCCCGTCCTCCCACTGCTGGATCCGCGATACACCGAGGATAGACCGAATACAGGAGCGATGGAAGACGGTCAGCCGATGGACGTGGGTAGCCTTCACAGCCCATGTCTCTGCACCGTAGAACAGAGTGCTCAGGACAAAAGCGCGATATACCGTGCACTTAATGTCGATGGATAAACCCCGGCACCGGAAAATCGGGGTCAGGAGGCAACCAAACACACGAGATGCCTTGGCCAAGCGGGAGGTGATCTCCACGTCCAGTGACCCATCGCAACTCACCACACTACCGAGGTAAGTAAAGCCGGAGACCATCTCCACAACTCCACCATCATCGAGGACGACATCAGGTTGTAGGTCCCCCGGGCCGACTGCTATGGCCTTTGTCTTGGCGATGCTGACAGTGAGACCCCACTGAGAGGCACAGGCGATGAACTCGTTTGCCAGGGTCTCCAGATGTTCTCTTGATGTGGTGTATACAGCGGCATCATCAGCGAACTGGGACTCGGTAACTTGGTACGTGTTCAGTCGCGCCTTGGTTGTTCGATCCCCAACAAGCTTCCGGCCAGGGCGTGAGCGCAGGGACACGCCGGGAACAGAAGAGCGGGAACGCCAAGACGACATTACGGCAGCAAAATACAGATTGAATAGGGTGGGGGCAAGAGTACAGCCTTGGCGAAGACCATTGTTAACATATATGTCCTCCGTCAAGCGACCAGATATACGAACCCGAGCCCTCATGCCGACATGTAGGGACCGAATCAAGCTGAGAAGGGTAGGTGGAATACCGAGCTTCCCGAGGACAAGCCACAACGCCTCACGAGGTATGCTGTCATAAGCCTTCTTCAGGTCGACAAATATGACATACAGTGGCGTATCATGTTCGATGGCCTTCTCGATTAGCTGGCGCGCCACAAACACCATGTCGACGCACCCACGTCCCTTCCTAAAACCGCACTGTGACTCAGGCAGCACATCCTCGGACAGTTCCTGAAGGCGATCCTGGATAACCCGTGCAAACAGCTTACCGACTACATCCAACAGGCTGATGCCTCGCCAATTGTCACATGACCGTAGGTCGCCTTTCTTCGGTATGGGTACAATCTCAGCGTCGCGCCACTCAGAAACAACGGAGCCACCTGCCCAAATCTGGGAAATCAGAGAATGAATACGCCGGTGGAGAGCAAGACCGCCACCCAGCACCAATTCCGGCACAATACCTGACGAGCCACCAGCCGTGCCCCTACTCATCCTCCGCATCGCAGCCATCACCTCCTCAAATGTCGGGGCCATGTCAAGTTCATGACGCGGCTCAGCAGTAGGCATGTTATCAATGACATGCATACTAAACTGACTAGCAATGTTGAGCACTCTGTCGAAGTGTGCATGCCAACGCGTAACAAGACTTTCCGGGCTGTCAGTAAGGTGTCCGTCTCCATCATAAACCGCCGAGGGTGTGACCGTACGCCTGCCATCATCCACTCGCTGCAATTTTCGGATGCATTTCCACCTCACACAGCCATCCCTTTGAGCACGCTCAGCATCACCGACCACCTCACGGATCCATTGTTCCTTTGCACCACGCACCGCCCTCGCAACCGACCGCTGGGCTGATCTAAATCCGGAACGTGTCGTTTGATTGCCTGCCGACAACATTCGTTCATGGGCACGTCGCTTCGCCTCAATAAGTGGCTCCAATGCTGCCCTATTCTCCAGAAACCAGTCTGGTTGCCGCCGCCGACCATGGCCCAGTGTTCTCTCCGCTACGCTGGTGATGTCATCACGAAGGGAATTCCAGGTCTCTTCAACACTCTGGCCACCACCGACCGCGCCACCACAGGCTGCCTCCATTGACTCTCGGTACTGCAGTAACGTATCAGGCTCACGCAGGCGATGGGTGGCATACGACCTCCGCTTAGGGACAGTGGATCTACGTTGGACGAAGTCCAGGACAAGCTTGGCCCGAACCATGTAGTGGTCAGTCCAGCACAGTGCGCCGCGGACAACACCAACGTCCTTACAGTAGCAGCAATGAGCTGTACGCATGATGACATAATCAATGAGATGCACTTGGCGAGTGGCTGGATGAGTCCATGTTCCACGCTTACTTCGTCCCTTCTTGTACCATGTATTCATTACTGACAATTGATTAGCTGCACAGAATGACAACAGCTCCTCACCAGCCCGATTGCAATTTCCAAGGCCAAATTGGCCCAAGACACAACCCCACATCCGCTCATCCCCTGGCATGCCATCGATACGACTCACAGCGCTGTCTGCATAGTCAGTGCTGGACCCGACGCGCGCGTTCAAATCCCCAAGGAGCACAAGAACATCTCTGGATGGGATACTGTCCACAACTCGTTGCAAGTCATCGAAAAACTTGCGTCTTACGTTCGGTGGGGCTTTACTCGTTGGAGCATAAACATTGACGATAGAGACACAGAAATCTGCGTGTCGCTTACCTCCACCAGGGAGTTTATCACCTCGCTTGGCGACAAGAAGACGAGCAGTGACAATACGCGAACTGACGGCGCTCCACTGCTCCCCTCCGCTCTTCCACATCCCGGTCACGGCGGAATTCATCAAAATTCCAACTCCCTCGTTCCGGCGGCCGGGCTCACTCCCCAAAGGCAAAGGCCTCCCAGAGTGTAACAACGTACCGCTCCCAGCAGGCCAGACGTCGCTTCCAAACCATTTCGTCTCCTGAATACCAGCAACGTCCACGCCGAACCTGCCGAGTTCCTCCACAAGAAAATCCAGTTTCCTGTCAACGGCGGTATCCGAGACATTTTTATTTTTACGGCATATTTTGGCATCACCAGCGTCCTCCACCAAGGACCGAACGTTCCATGTCGCAGTGACCAGTGTCCCCTTCGCCTTCGTCTTCCCCGTCCTCCTCGTTGTGACCATAATTCATTCAAATTCAAAAAACTACAAATTCCCCAAACCACTTCGTCTGACTAGTGCAATGCGTACAACAAACCTCCCGACAGCTCGCAAGGCTGTCAGGACGGGCCACAGCAGCCAAGGCCTGGTCTCCACCATACGGCACTTGGCTGCCAAGTGTGGCTAATCCATCATTGAGACAGAGCTCAAAAAGAGCAAACTGCCTCCTCCAACAACAAGTTGCAAAAAACTGGATGTATGCATGGCATATGCTGTAAATCGGTAACCGACCGACACACACACACACACACACACACACACACACACACACACACACACACACACACACACACACACACACACACACACATGCACCTGCACACACATTAGTGCACACACATGCACACACACACATACACACACACACACACACACACACACACATGTGCACACACTTACTTTAACACACAATAAACATCGCACGCACACATAAACACCCACCCACACGCGCTCACATATGTTATAGATTAGTCCTGTTTTGTTCATCACAATTTTTTAACACTGCTGTGGGGTTATTCTACAACATGTGTTTCAAACAGGGATAACATGTGGAAATCCTGGTCGACCTGAAAATGGCCAGGTTACGTCTAACGGATTTGATTATGGAAAGACTACAGTATACACTTGTAACCAAGGTTATGAGATGCAGAACATACCAAGTGGTCAACTCACAGTGACATGTACAGGAACTGGACAATGGTCTCAACCCAAACCTACATGTCTACGTAAGTGCTGTTATCAAGAGTACATAACCAAGAGTGTACAAGTCGATGCCCCCACCCCCCCCTCCCCCGGCCCACGGCGGAGTTTTTCATGATGGAAGTGTTTCGCGGGCATTAAACTCAATGATGGTATGATACTAAGCTAGATCAAAGGTAAAGGAATTTGTACATCGCAGCCATGGCAGTCAAAGGAGAAAAAAGGAGAGCAGATCCTTGTGACCTGAACCCAATGAACTGTAATTTGATCTTTTCTTTGATTGCAGCCCGCCAATGTCCCATTCCAGTAACACCAACATCTGGACAGTATTATGTAGAACGGCTAGGACAGCGTCTCTGGAGACGAGGTCCTTTCCAATATGGTGACATTGTTAGATGGGTGTGTGATACAGGATTCACAGGGAATACCGATGCTGTATGTCGAGCAGATAGTACATGGAGCAAGAACACACCAACCTGCACACGTACGTATATAAATACTTTTCTTGCTTACTTGAAGTAGGTGTGCAATATGAAACTCAGATGTTTAGTCAATGATGAATTGTGAAAGGAAAGGAACATAATGGATACGAGTTAAGTATCTGTCCACCACTGTAACTACAATTGTGGCCAAGGAAATCTGACCCGCGAGTCAAAAGTAGCGCCGCGTTTCCACTTCCATGACATCATGCATGTTCCCGAAACCGATCCGAGGGCCGCAGCGGCCGCATGAGCCTTGGCGCTGTTTTCGGCACGTGGGTTGGATGTCTTTGGTCATGACTGTAGATATTATAAAGTCAGAAAGAACAACAACTACTAGTAGGCACAAAACTGACAGAGTACTGTGACATTTGACGACCTGACACCTAACTCCGACACATCTCCAAAGCGCAAGCCAACAGCCTTGAAGGAAAGCGCAACAAAAATGACTACAAGCTAAAACTGCCAAGCTAACAAAGAATGTTGATTGTTACTGGACGGTGACGAGACCAGTAAGATACTTGACAAAGCGGTCTAACTACAATTCGAAGCAACACACCACCCAACTTGGGGCGGCTCAGAAATATCAAAGATAAGTACAGAAGGGGGAGCTTTGTGAATACGAATTGCACTATACCGCGTTGGTCTCCCCTTATCCTTAAACCTTCTGAGTTGGAAGACTGTTGAGTGTTGGTTAGCGCTTCGGAGATGCAAGTGTGGGAGCTAGGTGTCAGGTCGTCGAATGCCTCAGTACTCTGTCAATTTTGTGCCTAGTTGTTGCACTTTCTGACTGTATAATAGTATCTAGTTACAGTGGTGGACAGTTACTCTTAACCCATATCCATATGTTCCTTTTCTTTCTCTACTTCAAGTAGCAGCAACATTAACTTAATCATGTTTTAGTTTGTCAAGTTGCCTTTATCCTTGTTCCTCACTGCTAAGAAAGAAAAGAAAACATGATCATGATGATCTATCATAGCCGCTTTTAGCATGTAACAGTTAGAAAAAATTATAATTTTAGAGGCATTGCTGGCCACAATCGAGGCTCCCTTTTTTGATTCCTGGTGGTGGCAGACATTCTTTTCTTCAGACGTTTTCCTTTGTAAAACTCTATCAAACTTTAAAATATAGACTTATTATTGGTTGACTCTATTGGTACATGGTCTACAGGTAAAAGCTGTGCTGACCCTGGTGCACCTACCAATGGTAACTACACAGTGACTGGCTTGAAGTACGAGGATACAGTTACGTACACCTGCAGACTTGGCTATGACATGCAGAATCATCCAAATGCTTCTCTTACTGGAGTGTGTATGGCCAACAGGATGTGGTCCCGTACAAAACCCACATGCGAGAGTAAGTACATTATGTTGCATCAGTAGACTGTCATGTGATAACTGAATAAGAACAAAGTCCGGAAATCCGGGTGATTGTTATTCTGCAGGCAACAGTGGGTTTGCACTTCAAAACGTGACCAGCGAATAAAGCGTGTTCCTAAAAGATATACACTCGGTTGGCTTAACCTTGGCAACATCACTTGCTTATGACGTGTGATCTTTGACTTTGTTTTTGACAGTATGTACACTGTGCATGGTACTATACTACAAACATGTTGTCACTGTATCTGCACTGCACTACCATGCCGCTATGAATGTCTCCATGCTCATGTTCATGGGACAGCCACTCATTTCTATTACGTAGGCAAGGAATGATTCATCACCATGGCTGGTTCACAGAAAAAGTCAGTGTGCTTAAAACATACTTGGTCCGCGTCAGCGATATTGTCGCTTATCTTTCAGCTTTGTTTATATTTCGCCAAAGCTCACTCGGCAGCCCATTTCATCCCAGTTTTGGTTAGTAAGTTTTTTTACTAGTATCTGAAAGGTCTAGCTACAGTTCGAGTGGATTTCCAGAGCGACGGGTGGGTGATTATGATTGATACAGCGCCGAATCAAAATAGATCAGCGTATCTTGTTACGCTGTGCAGGCAAGAGCAGCGCAAGCCACAAGAAAGTAATCGGCTACTCGGAATCAGCTTCATTTTGCTGAACGGCCGAGACCGCTCACCTCAGGGATCGCTCGTCAAGCTGAGATCTCAGCTCCCTTACCTCCAACTCAACGCTCGGAGTATCCAGCGCGTCGTGGAGATTTGCAAGTACTGTACGCGTCGTCGTCGTCGTTCAAAATAAATCTTGCAAAGAACGGCGTCTGATTTGAACCACACAGGCTGTCGTATTGCCCACGCGAAGTCCTATAGAGAAGGCGACCGTCACGATCGACTTCTGTTTAGAAAATAGCCAGGCAGCGGAGAGGAAGAGAGATGAGCTTGCAAAAGCAAGAGAGTCGAACCCGAGCAAAAATATTTGTCACCAGCGTCGAGAGCAGCAACGAAGAGGACCGAAAAAAGTAGGAACCCTTCCTTGGACAATAAATTCCTTACAGCTAGTTTTCATTCTATACCTTACCGTCCATCGTACCAAGTTTTATCACTTCAAGTGTACGCGTTCATGTCCAAAGTCTAAGTTCAAATTGTCGAAAGATAAGCGACAATATTGCTGACGCGGACCAAGTATTAACATCCCACTGCACACACAGACATTTCAAGACCAGGTTTGAGCTAGATCGGGACTCACAGTGGGTGAAATGATTAGGCTTACACCGCGCTTCCACATGGTAGGACAAATGTGGAAGGGGCAGCTAAAGAGGTTAGGCTTACACCGCACTTCCACATGGTAGGACAAATGTGGAAGGGGCAACTAAGAGGTTAGGCTTACACCGCACTTCCACATGGTAGGACAAATGTGGAAGGGGCAGCTAAAGAGAAAGAGGTTAGGCTTACACTGTGCTTCCACATGGTGGGACAAATGTGGATACGCTGCTAACACGGTTACGCTTACACCCTGACAACCGCATGGTAGGACGAATGCGGCGGGGCTGGTAACCTGGAGTTAACTGACCAGCTCAAAGACTTATGGAGTGCTTTGCAGGCCACCTAACAAATACCACCCAAAAATAAGACCGCCTATGGCGGCTTGAGCCCTGAACTAGCTGTTCAAACCGAGAGCGGAGCCATGCTTAGTGGGTTGCAATCAAGATGTGAGAGAGCAGCTGGAATAGGCTTAACGTTATACCCAGTCAGCTACATAGCTAACATATGCCCGCTAAAGGTAAGACTGTCGGAAACGTTGCGAGCCCTAGTTTAGCTACCTCTATACGCCAGGCACAGCAGCACGATCAGGGAATACTAACGAGATACGTAGAGTGCAAGGGGAGCAGAGCAGCCACTCTTACAGAGGCCATACGACAGTGTTCAACTAGTCTGATCTCACCCGTGCTTTGGTGATTATTTCCATGAGCCAACTATGCCTTGCACTTCGGTGGCTATGGGGATGGTTGCCGCATCCCCCTTGCTTGCGAATCCAACTCCATGCCCAAAAATGTGATGACGGGCAGATCATGGTAGCGTCGTCCGTTGACCTGCAAGCCGTTTCCCGGCAGTCGGTTGCAGTTGCGTACTGGATGGATCTGGAGATGTTGGATCACGGTGGTAGATTAAGTTCAATACGCAGAAGGTACCGTCGCTGGTGCAATCTGTGTGGCCGTAGGTGCAACGGCCCGGATCTTCCTCTTCTGGCACGACCACCACCACGCCGTGTATGCACCACGGGAATGTGAAGCCAGCTGATGACGCTTTAGACACATGTGAGGTCGCGTTCTTGGATCAGATGAAGCTGGACAAGTGCGTACACCTCTCTGGACTCGCTGGGTGTGATGTCGAGCTGGTGTATCTCCAGCTACATTGTGCCCAGCTCCAGTAATGTCACTGAAACCCGTAGCTAGGAAAGCATGTTGAGATGTGGTAAATTACACGATTGTCCAAGAGTAAGACGAGAGGCGATTCCAGTGACTACTAAGTGAAACTGCAGGCGCGCCCAACTTCATTACTGGGGATGGCAAAGGTAGCTGAGAAATGAGCTTGGTTGCAATGGTTAAGCAGGCTATACTGGCCTCTAAGATGATAATGAGTTTGAGATAAAATTGCCAGAAGATACACAATAGTGGCGTTGTGCACGCTCGAACCATCTAGTGTTGAAAGATGGTGAATTAGTCCAAGATAACTGTCTCTCTTCGGAGAAATGCCTAGCCAAGATGACTGCCCCGGACGGAATGGTGGGGTGGACACGGGCCGGCTGTCGTACCATCCGCCACTGCCGGTTGTCTTATCCATACTGGGTGAATGGTGCCACAGGCTCATGCACTGTGCCCGGGGCTTTTGCAGGTGCTGCATTGATGGTTAATCTACGAATTGATGGGCGACGATGTGGTCGATAGTGCTCTCGGGTAGAGTTGCCCCGATTGGAACAGGTTTAGCGTGATGCAGGTGACACCGGACAAAGGGCGCCGGCTGGACGTACATGGCCATTAGATGGGGTATTGTTTAGTGCAGTGCAGCCGGTCAAAAGACGTTAGGATCTCCAGAAACATGTGGAACGTTAATTATGACAACAGTTTGGAGGATGCCAACAAGTGAATACGACAGAAATTGGCCTGTCCTCACCAGTTCGCTGGACGGCATCATGGTTCAGGTCTCCGAAAATTTGTGAACGTGTTGAGTCCGACAAACGTCCGGAATTCTGATGCTCTGCTGGGGTGTGCATCCAGATTTCCAACAGCAAATAATGCCAAATATTGTTCCCACTTGCAGCTAGGTTGCCTTTGCCCGAATTGCGAGAGGACAAGCATTCCAATGCTGAGAGATAGTGGATTAGGCCATGGTGGCTGTCTTTCTTAGGTGAGATGCTTTATGAAGATGACTTCGTTGGGCTGAATGGTGGAGTGGATACGGAACGGCTGTCGTCCCATCCGCCATTGCAGGTAGTCGGAGATATACTGGGTGTATGCGGCAGAACGTTAGGTCCGGCCGAACATCATCTTGCACTGGCCTCTTAGCCAATGGAGAAATTATGTGGATAGAGCTGTGCGGTTGAGAAGCATGTATGGCTTATGCCGACGTTGCCATGATTTTGGTCCAAACATATCCAGCGCAGTGGGCGTAGACGGGGTACGAAGCTGACGCAAACCAGACAGGCACAATGTCCTACTGCCATGGGGTGAAGGCACCGTGGGCATAGTTCGTGATCCACATGATTATGCTGCTTTTTGTCCTGTCCATCAATCACATCTGGTGTTCTGGTGTTGGGCTGACTGCTCAGCGTTCTTTATTCTCTCTCTCCTATCTTTCTTTCTTTCTTTCTCCTATCTAACTCTTTGTCAACGCTCCTAGTGAACAATGAACACTCAACGACAACTGCTAACGTTACGTATCGCGACGTTCAACGTCCGTGGAATATCATCTGTGACGAGGCAACAGCAGCTGACGAACGATTTGAAAAATTATCGTGTTGACTTCTGCGGCCTACAGGAGTTGAAGCTTCGGGACAGCTTCGACAAGCAGATTGGTGAAGGCTATCGGCTTGTGGGCTTTGGACAGGACAGCGGCCTATATGGCGGCATTGGCTTTGCAGTTTCACAATATTTATCTCCGTTCCTTACCAGATACAAAAAACTGTCGGAACGCGTCGGATACACCGACTTCAAGATCCCCCAGGACCGGCGGGCACGACAGAATCGACTGACGGCACTGGACGTGAGATTCATCGTGGCCTACGGCCCAACCAACCCGACGGCCACTGCTAACCCTGCTCTCCGAGACGAATTTTACTAAACGCTTTCACGAGCATGGAAGACTCAGAGCAGTAGAACGCTCAAAATCTGCGCCGGAGATTTCAACAGCAAAGTTGGTTCAACTCCCAGCGTTTGTGTCGGCCAATACAGCAAAGGAGTTAGAAACGAGAATGGCGCTGCGCTGGTGGAGTGGGCTGCTTCTCAACAACTCCTGCTGGCAAACACCGTATTCCGATAATCAATGCGTTACAGGACTATCTGGACAGGCCATGTCAAGGTCAAGGGAACAGGCCAAACAAAGAAAATCTACAACATGATTGACTACGTGCTGCTCCCTACGCACCTGCGTCCGCAGCTGATTAGGGCACGCTCGTACGGAGGGACACAGCTTGCCAGTGATCATAAGCTCGTTATTGCCGATCTGGAGACAAGCCGCTTGTTCAGAGCATACGATGCAAAATCTACAAAAAGCATGGAGAAACCTCTTGCTGTGGCGGAGCTTGCGAATCCTGAAAAGAGCCTCAAATACCGAGAAAACCTAAAGCTGAAGCTCCAATCCTCTCTACTGTTCTCTAGTGTGGCAGACAGCATTCCCGTTGCGGATTTCTGGAAATCTACAACCAACCTAATGAGGGAGTCAGCCAAAGAGGTTGTTGGACACATGAGACGCT